GGTATATTTTATTTTCGTTTGGTATCACATAGTCGAATTGGAATGGGAATACCTCGTCGCACCGGAGATGCTTAGTTGCGCTTGATACGATGAATTGAGGTGAGGAGAGATAAACTCAGGTATAAGAGTGACTGAAGGGGAAGACTGTTAGCATACCTCGGTGCAGTTTTCTTGAGCCCCGACTCCTGATCTGTTAAAGAGACGCAACCTGTTCATTTTGCGCTGCTAGTGACAGAAATCAGAAAAATTCCTTAGAAACAGCGTATCGAAAGCCAAATCTGTAGAGGTTTTGGAATTCAAGTGGTATAGAAAGCTCGCCGGATCTCCCCTTTATCAACCCCCTTCCCGTTACTGGAAGCCAGAGCTGTGATCCCGAAAATAGTAATCTATTTATCTGCAGACATTGGCAAACATGTTTTTTACGAAAGTAGCCCTGCCAGAGATGGAATACGTGGAAGATTTTGCCGATTTCCTGATTAGTGCCGAACTGCACAGCTTACCGGTGTTGAAGCGAGCCTGTGAAGGCTATTTGTGTAGCGAGCTCTATTCCGTAAGTTTGGCCGATTCTCTTTTGATATTATAAATAGTTCGAGTTCCAACAGTCGGCGCTGCTACCGTTGCATCAGGCAAACTGATAATCGCAGTTCTCCATTCTGGGGAGCATGAAGACGACATAAGTATGTAAAATACCTCGACTAACTGCTCCGCCATCGTCGTGTTCTTCTCCATCAATACAGTCCGTGTAGCTCCTGGTCAGCACTCCACTCACCTCAAAACCTTTGCAGTGTTCGTCCGACATTGTCTACAAAAAAAAAGTGTGGATTATATTGGCAGAAAAAACTCAATGGCCAAGAATCGGATAACAAATAGCTTAACAAAGCCCGCACCTACACAAATTCTTCTATTCTTCTATTTCATATGCCAAGACCTTCTGAGCTACCAACGTCAGCGAGTCGTCTGAAAGATCAATTAGTATGTGACGTAGATCCCAAGATATACACACACACACATGCACACACATACACACACACGCACACACACTCGCATATATACGCACAAGCATAATTATATATTGCATGAATTCACTGACAGCGGAAATTTCAGAAGAAAGATTTGATAGCCTCGCTGCTGCTGGATCTACTTTTCCTGTCAATTGTGTTCGATTTGCCACTGATGAAGTCGATGACTCTTTCCGAGCTGTCCAGTCGGCCGGAGGAGCTTGCCCAGCCGGATGCATTGCTGGAGCTTGATGAATACAAGTTTGTCCATTAATTTTGTGTAATCAATCACGGCAAATGGTGGCAGAGAAGCGGCAGGGGACAGTACTTGAAGAACTCTCTCCGACGCAACCCAGTGCCATACTTTTGGGAAATTTCAGGAATCTAGATCGCCGAATGATGAAAATGAGTGGAAGGAGTCTGGTGGAGCTAATTGAGGAAGTGCAACGATTCCGGGAGCAAAGGCTACGCACGCAGTCGCTTGAAATCAACTAATTATTGTACAAGGTACTTCTGTTCACCCTATCTGCAACACAGAACCGACAAGCACGGAAC